ATTATATTACCCAAATTGTGTGAAATCTCCTGATTCCATATTAACAAGTTTTTAAAACTGACCCATATACTTTGTGTAAACGTATGTCAAAATACAGATAAATTCCTGCACTCGTACGCATTCGCGGCAAGCATAATTCGCATAATTCATTTAAACAATAACGCACTTGGTCGAGGTGGGGAACGTGCGTTCGACTTAAATCCAGATTTAGAATACGTATTCGCCTCAGATCTACCTGTGTCCATCAAGTAAATCATGGATCCCCGGGAGTTACAAGTAATATAACTCAAAAACATTTTCTTTTTCATCCCTATTACAACAATATTATGATTTACAAAGTGTTCTTTACATACTTTATATTAATCGATCGATTAAACTCATCGATAGTGTCGGTTTTCGTTCACGGTTTGTATTTTAAGTGAAAGATTGTATCAAAATTCCATAAATTCTTTAAATTGAAAAATTATAAATGCCACAATATGTGGTTCCTAAAGGAGAAGGATATGAACTTTTGCGTCTGCCGCATTGTGGCTACAATCACGTCAAGCAACCCAAAATAATGCATGGTAATGAATCACAACCCGGCATGTGCTATTTTATTTTATTACGGTTGAATTCATCAATCGTAGACAATATAAATAACTATATTATTCATGTGAGTGGCCATGGATGGCTGCGCTGGGCTATGAAGACGACACTCATCCCTTGAGCTGGCGGTGCGGTGGGTCACTAATCACGTCCAGACACGTAATAACCGCTGCGCATTGTGTAACTTTTACGACTCCAAGTTTAAAATACGTTCGCCTTGGTGAGATCGACTTGACTTGTCCTGGAGAGAGGACGCATGCATCTTAATTTTAATTTCCAGCAAAATTAGATACAACGATTTTTTATTTATTTTCAGCGTGATAGTGGTGGACCATTGACTTCACGGATAGGTGGGACAAACTACCAAATAGGACTAGTGTCTTATGGTCATAGATGTGGATATGTAGGATATCCTGGCGTTTACACTAGAATTACAGCTTCCCCA